TTAATAACTGAAGAAAAGTCCATATTAAAAAACAATGGTACAGCTTATATGATGGGTGTGACAACAGGCAATATGTAATTAATAATATAATAAGAAAAAAAATAAAAAGGGCATCAAACTCTTAATAGCAATTATCTTTGGCATATACAAAGAACTTTTTTTTTTTTTTTAATATTTTTTATTTATTTCTAGGAGAGAGAGAGAGAGACAGCGTGAGCAGGGGAGGGTCAGAGAGAGAGGGAGTCACAGACTGAAACCGGCTCCAGGCTCCGAGCTGGCAGTCAGCACAGAGCCCGACGCGGGGCTCGAACCCACGAACCGCGAGATCATGACCTAAGCGAAAGTCGGACGCTCAACCGACTAAGCCACCCAGGCGCCCCAAGAACTTTTTTTTCTGGAGTTGAAATTATTTTTTGTCATGAATTTCTTTTACTTACACGGAGAAAAAGGTAAAAAAAAAAAAAAAAAAAAAAAAACCACTATAATGTCCAAGTAATCTAAGGCATTCAGTTTTTAGCTTAAATTATCTAATTGATTGACTCTATTCTCTACTTTGGGAGTAGATACTACATGTTAGAAGTTGTGTAACCTTTAGTAAGTGATCTGGGCACAGTACAAAACCTGAAAATACACTGGAACGTTCTGGTCAAGTCACTGACCCTTTATAGACCACAGTTTTCTCTTCTCTAAAATAAGGGAATAAGCTCATTAACCTCTAATGCCTGTGTTATCTCCAAATAACATAATTAAGCAAAAGTGACCACCAGGAACTGTTTTCATTGTGCCTTTTTGACCCTTCAAATTGTATTTATTTTTCATGAGAGAAAGCTTTTCACCATAAGTTACCTTTCTTCCAAACTGAAGTTCAGCAGGTGGTTAATTAAGCCATATTCCTCACAGGAGAAAAATGATTTGTGTAGGCTTAGAATCATTAGGACAGGGCCTGGCATGTTTTATACACCCATTAGCTCATAGCCCAAGTGTGTTCTGTGGAAAGGAGCCACAAATCTTAACCCTCTTGGGTGGGACATAACCATTTCTCACGAGGCTGTAGTGTGGCTGTTTGTTCAGAACGTCTCCTAGAACACTGATACGGAATAATAAAACTGCAGGAAAGGAGAAATGACTTAAGTGAAGAATGCATTATGTTCTTTTCATTATAAATAATAAGGAAATAAAAAATGAGAGTAGATTTTTAGAGCTTTTCTCTCCAAGAGTCTTTCCTTAGGGAATTAGAACACAAAGTAGTCATTATAAGGCTTACACAGGGTACTGAATTTTTTTTTTTCTTTTTTCTTTTATCGGAATTTCCATATACATAAATCCTAAAAGTCAAAAGTACTGCAAGGCTTACAATGAAAAACAGCAGTTCCCTGAGGACCATCTCCAGAAACATTCAACTCACCTAGCTTTTTCTTCTATATTCACCTCCAGGTTTCTAAATGCAATGTTTAGGTACCCATTTTTTGATCTGTCAGGGTATGGGATTTCATCTTTGACTGTCTTACATGGAAGAGAACTCAGCCCTCATGTCTTGCCCAACTCCTTAGACACACTTCCATTCCCTCATCACTCTCATATAAGCATCTCACAATTTTTATTACATTGTTAGGACTATGTATCTGCTATTCATCATTGTCATGAGGAGCCCTTTGCCTTTTTCCTGTCTTGGTATCCTCTTTCCTGGATTCCAAGTCTTCCATTTTTTATGTACGCTCTCCTTTTGGTAGAACGTATCATCTAGTAGAGTACATGAAAGGTAAACAATTTGAAGCTACGAATGTCTGAAAATCATTATTTTCTGAAAATAACTATCATTATTTTAGCCTCGCCCTTGGTTGAAAAATGTTGACCCTCAGAAATGTGAATGCAGTGCTCCATTCCCTTCTTGATTCTGTTGTTTCTGTTGACATGGCCAGAGCCATCCCTGTCTTTTTATATATGGCCTGTTTTGTTTTGTTTTGCCTTCTGGAAACTTGTGGAATCTTTCTGTCCCCAGAGTTATAAAATTTCGTCATGAGAGAGATTTTAGGAGGCAGGCAGAACCAACGAGATGGGGGGGAATGAGAGAAAGTAGAAATGTAAGGCAGCCCCTGGTTTCTAATTTGGTTGACTAGTTAGATAATACTGTAACCTAGATCAAAACCAAAAGAGATGTGGGGTGCTTTCTTTTATTTGGAGAGAGGGAAAGCAGATAAAATAAGTTCGATTATAAATATGGGTTTGAAGGGCCACGAGGATATCCTAGTGAAAGTGCCCAGAGAAGAGTTGGAAATACAAATTGGAAGCTTGGAAATACAACTTGTAATACAAAAAAAGGTCCTCTCAAGCTCAAATTTCAGCCATCATACATCTGGATAACTCTGATAGTTAAATCAAGGAGTTAATGGGAATGTCAAGGAAGACTGTTGACTGAGAAGGAAGAGATCTGAACACAGAACGCTGGAACATCCAAGTTTTGAGGATTAAGCTAAGAAAAATCACCCAGAGGAATCATGAGAGGTTCTACCTGGTAACGATTCACTTCCGGCCATTTAATTGTCAGTCACTTAACTAGTAGTAAAGATTCCCTGGATTCCAGTCAGATACCTCTGCTCTCCAGTGTGTATTAATAACATTAAGCCTACTGATGACCACGAAGGTTTTATTAATGCAAATGCTAAGTGTGTTCTTCTAAAATTTTTAAATATCTTTTAAAGATACTTTGAAATTGCAGGGAGGCATGGAGTGTATGAGAAGTGTGTGGCCAATGTGAGCTGGAGGGAGTTAGGGTATGTGAGGAATCTGAAGCCTGGGAAGCGGAGGCTGTTGTTGAGCTACGCTCCCTCCTCTCTCCCAGGATTTCTGCAGGTTCATCTGTTCTTCCAGATTTGAAAACTTCGTCTTAATTATTGACAAGAGATTACTGCTGAGGTCAAATTTATTTTCCCAGCACTCCTGAAGGTTTGTATTTCATTTCAAGAAGTCTTCACATGATTTTCCCTGAACTCCCTTTGTCCTCCACACTAGATTAATAGCACGTTCTTGGGCTTCATAGAATGTCCTCACAACCTTCATGAAGCAAATGCTCCTCGGCAGTTTTTTAGGGTCACTTCCTGGGATTTGAGATTCTGCAGATGGCCACATCTTCCTGAGGGTTGCATAGCAAAGGGATTTTAGCAACATGGAGTTCTTGCTCAGTTTCACCTATGACTCGTACCTGCCTCATACAGAGTACGGTGCTGGATGCTCTGAGGGACACCAAGGTGAATACACTGTCATCCAGCCTTCAAGGACATCTAGTGAGAAAGGTGGGTAACTGGTCACAAGAACGGGAGGCAAGGGACGTTAACTGAACTGAGGGCATAACGCAGAGGGCTGTTGTAGCACAGGAGAATGTGCTTCATTCTCACTGGCGGGGGTAAGGCAGAACTCATTTCCAGCACTTGCTCTCAGGTAGGCACAGAGGCAGCAGCACAGTGGTAGCAAGACACGTAGAGCCAGAAACAGTCTTGTACTGAATGTTTTGTCGACAAGGATTTAGATAGAGAAGAAAGAGTAAAATAACTCTCAAATGTGTAAGTGTCTTTATTAAAGAATTCTCTTGCACAGTTTGTTTAAAATGCCGAAGCATATAATATTTGGAAATGCGGAGCTTAAAGTTATTCAGGCTTCGTTTGAGACGAGCTTTTGAGCGCTGGCCTCTCTGGGACCCTGGGGAAGGTACTGACTGCAAGCTGTAGTTCTTCACGGAGTCACTGTATGTAAATCACAGAGCCCAGCGCCTGGTCTGTGTTCAAATTTAGGAAATCGCTAGGTTTTACCATTATTA